GATGGAGGAGGTGATGGGTGGTGATGGCGGTGGTACCGGTGAGAGTGACGGTGCCGCTGGATGGCGGAGCACTCGTCGTAGCGAGTCTACGAGCTCCTGGAATGGATCGGGGTGACTCATCTCTGCCGTCGGTGTTGGTCCGGTCTTCTGTAACGGAAGAGGTCTGACGCAACAGGTTAGTATATATAAAACTGGTTTATTTGGTCACAGAGAGTACAGGGGTAGGGTCCAGAGGCTGGGATGGTGAGTGAGTCGTTTGTAGAATGGTTCAAAGAATATGATGCGTGGGGTAATCCGGGTCTTTGGTTTTACAGGAGCTGGGATGCAGGCAGGAGGAGCACACACCTCAGTGATCCGGGAATTAGGAGAAATAGGAGACACTTGGAGACGAGGAGACACTAGGAGGAACACAGGAGGTAAGTAATGCAGGAAGTATTCACATGGAAGTAGTAGTAAAGTCATTGAGTCCTTTACGTGTATACGAGACCGGACAATGAGGGTGTCTGAGGTGTGTGCTTTTATGCAAGCTGGTAATGAAGTGCTTGATTAGTGACAGGTGCTGGTGTTCAGAACTCAGGTGAGAGGGATCGTTGTGATTGGGTGGTGGCGAAGCCTGGCTGATCTGTTACAAATAACCATTCTGCTGTCTGTTGTTCTGTTGTCGGTGTTTCTTTGTCTGAATACGGCACTTATCGCATGCTGTGTGGTATCGGCGTTTGGTATCGGGGCATTTTAACGAGTATGAATACGAGTACAGGAGCTCAGTATCGGGCCCAATACCGATACCAGTATCGTATTGGTGCATCCCTAGTTCAATCCCAGGCTGTGGCTGGGCCACACAAGGACATTCACAGAGTTGTCTATAAGCCACTCTTGCTGTGTTCTTAGGGTCATTGTCCTGTTGGAAGGTAAACCTTCTGCCCAGTCTGAGGTTCTGAATCCTCTAGACTGGGTTTTCATTAAGGCTATCTCAATATTTTGGTGCATTGAGCTTTTCTTCTACTCTGACAAGTCCCTCAGTCCCTGCCGCTGAAAAACAGCCCTGAGGCTGCTACCAGCACACTTTACTTTTGGGATGGTACTCTGCAGGTGATGAGCAGAGCTGGTTTCCTTCAAACATGATGTTTGGTATTGAGGTTCATCAAACTAGATAATCTTTTTTCTCAGAGTCTGAGGGTCCTTTAGGTGCATTTTTGCAAATTACAAGTGTGTTTTCATGTGTCTTCACTGAAGAGAGGCTTGAGTCTTGCCACACCGCCATAAAGACCAGATCGGTGGAGTGTTGCAGTGATGTTTGTCCTTCTGTAGATTTCTCTTATCTCCACATATGATCATGGAGCTCAACTACAGTGACCATCAGGTTCTTGGTCATCACACTAACCAAAGCCCTTCTCCATTAATTGCTCAGTTTGGCCAGGAGGCCAGCTCTACTGTAGGAAGAGTCCTGGTTGTTTCAAACTTCTTCCATTAAGGGTAACAGAGACTACATGCTTCTGTGACCCTTCATTGAAGCAGATTTTTTTTCTGAACTCTTCCCCAGATGTGTGGCTTCACGCAAACCTGTTTCTGAGCTCTACATCAGTTCTTTTAACCTCAGGGCTTGGTTTTTTCTCTGATATGCATTATCAGCTGTTTGTAAGCTGTTAATGCATATCAACCTTTTATTAAGACGTGTGCCGTTCCAAATCATACCCATACAACTGAATTTGCCACAGGTTAACTTCACTCAAAGTGTAGCAACATCTACAAACAATATGAATGCTCCTGAGATAAATTTAAACTGTCCCAGATAAGGGTTTGAATACTTATGCAATGGAATCATTTAAGTTTTTTATTTTTTAATACATTTTCAAAGATGTTAAAAACCTGTTTTTCGATTTACCATGGAGTGTAGATTGATGTGGAAAAAAGTAATTTAAAGCAGTTTAACATAATGCAGCAACATATCAAAACGTGAAAAAAATTAAGGGGTATGAATACTTTCGCAAGGCACTATATATGCACACTGTAGCGACTCAGCTCATGAGGAAATATGAATAATTAACCATAACTAGTTATAATTAATTATTCATATTTTAGATCCGCTGTAGATATTTAGCTGACCTCTCAGGGTCAACTGTCTTGTCAATTCTAAGAACGTTAGTTTCCTGGTTAAGGGAAATAACTTTCTTACTGTACAATTCTACAAAAGCTTGTAGCATAAATCTGCATGATTAAGTGACTCCAGTTATGAGCAAACAATGAACAACGTCAAGTGTGATACAAGTAAGGTTTTATTAACTACATAAACACTTAAACTAGTCTAACATACTACATAAACACATAAACTGGTCTAACATACACATACACACACACACACACA